CCCGTTTTTAGTGTAACATTTGCATTTGTTTCGCTTTGTCAGCGCTCGTGATTTCATTTACCCAAAAATTTTATTTCACTAATTTGAAAAAAAAAATGCTCTTTCAGGCTTAACAAGCCTTGGTGGTGAAAGCCATGTATCAGACTGCTTTTTTAGCTCGTGAAAAAGGGTTAAATATTGGCCGTTGGTTAAGCGATTTTTGAGTCAACAACTTTAGATATTTCTTAAAAAATCTCATGTTGATCAAATCGCGATCTAATTAGTGAAAACTACATAACGAACCAACTAGTCAACAAAACTATATATGTCATTTCATTAATTTATGAATAGCAAATTTGTTCACACGTAAACACCTAATGATGGCACGCGCGACGTTTTACAAATATCCCAAAAGCACAAGTGGAATACTGATAACGATAGACTATAAGCAGCCAGTAGAATGAACAAAAATCACTTTCTGCTAGTGATGGGGATCAAGTTTTACTCCTGTTTTGTACGTTTCGGGAAGCAAGGCAATATCTTCATTAAAGAAATCACTGCAAACGCGAAAAGAAGATCCGAAGACAAATTAGTCACGAAGTTTAAGGTCTACGAATCGGTATCCTGCTATATTAGTCAACAAACCTACTACTAGGATAACTGAATCGTACTAACCGTCTTAGTCTTTATTGACGTAGTTTGAACAGCAAACTTAAATCTTATTGATGAGTGAGCTGTGACAGTAATTAAAGGGGAAATCTTTAAATTTAGTTTTGGCGGCCCAAATAAGTAATTGTGTTTTTTTGTTGTTGTTTGTTTGTTTGTTTTTTTTTCAAAAAACGTAAACTGATTCACCTCCGAGAAATCCGTCCTCAGGGTGGATTTCAATTAAGAAATCCAAATCTCGATTTTTTGGATTTGCAAAACTATTCTCGTGAACAGCGTTCTTCTTTTTACTAATTATGCGTGCGCATGAAAGATCGCTGTTCCTAAGGACAGTTTTTCAAATCCTTTTTCGGATTTCCCAATCGAACGGTAAAAACAAATATTTCAGATTTCGCGTTCGATTGCAAATCCGAAATCCGTATTTTAAAATCTAAATCCAGATTTCCCAATCGAACGCACCCTTAGTTGGGGGAATACTAAAGGATGGTCCTTTATAGTTACACGATAATTTAAGAAATTTAATATCCTTAACAGTTATGCGAAACGAATTTTTGAAAAGAACGCTATACATGTTGTATTTGAAGAAAAAAAGAATGCTCTTTAAGGCTAAATAAGCCTTGGTGGTGAAAGCCATGTACCAGACCGCTTTTTTAGCTCGTGAAAAAGGGCTAAATTTGGCCATTGGTTCATAAGCGATTTTGAGTCAACAACTTTGGAAATTTCTTGGAGATTTTCGGATTAACACTGAACTGTGAATGCTATAAAACGTATTCCAAGGACATCGGCGCACGACCTGGCTCGCTCCTTTTGAAAAAGTCGTTTTGCATAAGTTACAGATCCAAGTTTCCTTACCTCTTTTAAAACTTAATAAGAGCATCCTTCTATACCATGAAAAAGGCAAATTAATTCATATTTATGCCATGCCCATTTGTAATTTGGGAAAGATTAGTTTAAAAAGAATTTCCCTTGTGTAGTGCCCTTGTGGAGTAAAACTGAATGTCTTCAATTGAGGCGACAAGTCAATCTTGTATAAGTATGCGTTCGGTAATTTCTAGATATGGATGTTTTATTGTCGTTAATCCTTACCATGTCCTTTGTTTTTTCTTTAGACACTGATGACTGTTATCCAAACCCGTGTCTAAACAACGGAACATGTACAGACGGAGTGAATGACTACAACTGCACTTGCGTGCCTGGCTTTGTAGGAAAGAATTGCTCAAATAGTAAGTCTTTAAAAATCAAGTCTTTGAAAGGATTGAGATTTTCGGATTAACACTGCACAGTGACTGGTAATCGTATTCCAAGTACATCGGCGGACGACCTCGCTCGCTCCTTTTGAAAAAGTCGTTTTGCATAAGTTACCGATCAAAGTTTCCTTACCTCTTTTAAAACTTAATAAGAGCATCCCTCTATATAAGGAAAAAGACACATTAACTGATATTTCTGCCATGGGCAGTTTTAATTTGGCTAAGATTAGTTTCCAAAGAATTTCCCTTGTCGATTCCAGCCGATGTGGAATAAAATAAAAAAAACTAAATGCCTTCAATTGATGCGACAAGTGAATCTTCTACAATTATGTGTTCCTTAATTTTGTAGACATGGATATTTTATTGTCATCAATCCTTACCATGTCCTTTTTTTTTTCTTTAGACACTGATGACTGTTATCCAAACCCGTGTCTAAACAACGGAACATGTACAGACGGAGTGAATGACTACAACTGCACTTGCGTGCCTGGCTTTGTAGGAAAGAATTGCTCAAATAGTAAGTCTTTTAAGATGAAATCAAGTCTTAAAAAAGATTGAGATTTTCGGATTAACACCGAACAGCAAATGGTAATCGTATTCCAAGTACATCGGTCCACGACTTCGCTTGCTCGTTTTGAAAAAGGCGTTTTGCATAAGTTACAGATCCAAGTTCCCTTACTTGTTTTGAAACTTACGAAGAGGATCCCTCTATACAAGGAAAAAGGCACACTAATTGATATTTCTCCCATGGGCAATTTTAATTTGGGCAAGATTAGTTTGAAAAGAATTTCCCTTGTGGAGTCAAGCCGATGTGGAATAAAACTAAACGCCTTCAATTGATGCGACAAGTGAATCTTCTATAATTATGTGTTCCTTAATTTTGTAGACATGGATATTTTATTGTCGTCAATCCTTACCATGTTTTTTTTTTCTTCAGACACTGATGACTGTTATCCAAACCCGTGTCTAAACAACGGAACATGTACAGACGGAGTGAATGACTACAACTGCACTTGCTTGCCTGGCTTTGTAGGAAAGAATTGCTCGAATAGTAAGTCTTTAAAAATCAAGTCTTTAAAAGGATAGCTAAGGATTGAGATTTTCAGATTAACACTGCACAGTGACTGGTAATCGTATTGCAAGTACATCGGCGGACGACCTCGCTCGCTCCTTTTGAAAAAGTCTTGTTGCATCAGTTACAGCTCCAAGTTTTCTCACCTCTTTGAAAACGTAATAAGAGCATCCCTCTATACAAGAAAAAAGGCACATTAATTGATATTTCTCCCATGCCGGCATTTTTAATTTCGGCAAGATTAGTTTCCAAAGAATTTCCCTTGTGGATTCAAGCCGATGTGGAATAAAATAAAAAAACTAAATGCCTTCAATTGATGCGACATGTGAAAACTTCTACAATTATGTGTTCCTTAATTTTGTAGCCTTGGATATTTTATTGTCGTCAATCCTTACCATGTCCTTTTTTTTTTCTTTAGACACTGATGACTGTTATCCAAACCCGTGTCTAAACAACGGAACATGTACAGACGGAGTGAATGACTACAACTGCACTTGCGTGCCTGGCTTTGTAGGAAAGAATTGCTCAAATAGTAAGGCTTTTAAAATCAAGTCTTCCAGAGGTTGAGATTTTCTGATTAACACTGAACAGCGAATGGTAATCGTATTCCAAGTACATCGGTGGACGACCTCGCTCGCTCCTTTTGAAAACGGCGTTTTGCATAAGTTACAGATCCAAGTTTCCTTACCTCTCTTAAAACTTAATAAGAGCATCCTTCTATAAAACAAAAAAGGCCAATTAATTCATATTTATGCCATGGCCATTTGTAATTTGGGAAAGATTAGTTTCAAAAGAATTTCCCTTGTGTAGTGCCCTTGTGGAATGAAACTGAATGTCTTCAATTGATGCGACAAGTAAATCTTGTATAATTATGTGTTTCTTAATTTTGTAGTCATGGATAGATTATTGTCGTTCATCCTTACCATGTCCTTTTTTTTTTCTTCAGACACTGATGACTGTTATCCAAACCCGTGTCTAAACAACGGAACATGTACAGACGGCGTGAATGACTACAACTGCACTTGCGTGCCTGGCTTTGTAGGAAAGAATTGCTCAAATAGTAAGTCTTTAAAAATCAAGTCTTTGAAAGGATTGAGATTTTCGGATTAACACTGCACAGTGACTGGTAATCTTATTCCAAGTACATCGGCGGACGACCTCGCTCGCTCCTTTTGAAAAAGTCGTTTTGCATAAGTTACCGATCAAAGTTTCCTTACCTCTTTTAAAACTTAAGAAGAGCATCCCACTATATAAGGAAAAAGACACATTAACTGATATTTCTGCCATGGGCAGTTTTAATTTGGCTAAGATTAGTTTCCAAAGAATTTCCCTTGTCGATTCAAGCCGATGTGGAATAAAATAAAAAAAACTAAATGCCTTCAATTGATGCGACAAGTGAATCTTCTACAATTATGTGTTCCTTAATTTTGTAGACATGGATATTTTATTGTCATCAATCCTTACCATGTCCTTTTTTTTTTTTTTTTTAGACACTGATGACTGTTATCCAAACCCGTGTCTAAACAACGGAACATGTACAGACGGAGTGAATGATTACAACTGCACTTGCGTGCCTGGCTTTGTAGGAAAGAATTGCTCAAATAGTAAGTCTTTTAAGATGAAATCAAGTCTTAAAAAAGATTGAGATTTTCGGATTAACACCGAACAGCAAATGGTAATCGTATTCCAAGTACATCGGCCCACGACTTCGCTTGCTCGTTTTGAAAAAGGCGTTTTGCATAAGTTACAGATCCAAGTTCCCTTACTTGTTTTGAAACTTACGAAGAGGATCCCTCTATACAAGGAAAAAGGCACACTAATTGATATTTCTCCCATGGGCAATTTTAATTTGGGCAAGATTAGTTTGAAAAGAATTTCCCTTGTGGAGTCAAGCCGATGTGGAATAAAACTAAACGCCTTCAATTGATGCGACAAGTGAATCTTCTATAATTATGTGTTCCTTAATTTTGTAGACATGGATATTTTATTGTCGTCAATCCTTACCATGTTTTTTTTTTTTTTTCAGACACTGATGACTGTTATCCAAACCCGTGTCTAAACAACGGAACATGTACAGACGGAGTGAATGACTACAACTGCACTTGCTTGCCTGGCTTTGTAGGAAAGAATTGCTCGAATAGTAAGTCTTTAAAAATCAAGTCTTTAAAAGGATAGCTAAGGATTAAGATTTTCAGATTAACACTGCACAGTGACTGGTAATCGTATTGCAAGTACATCGGCGGACGACCTCGCTCGCTCCTTTTGAAAAAGTCTTGTTGCATCAGTTACAGCTCCAAGTTTTCTCACCTCTTTGAAAACGTAATAAGAGCATCCCTCTATACAAGAAAAAAGGCACATTAATTGATATTTCTCCCATGCCGGCATTTTTAATTTCGGCATGATTAGTTTCCAAAGAATTTCCCTTGTGGATTCAAGCCGATGTGGAATAAAATAAAAAAACTAAATGCCTTCAATTGATGCGACATGTGAAAACTTCTACAATTATGTGTTCCTTAATTTTGTAGCCATGGATATTTTATTGTCGTCAATCCTTACCATGTCCTTTTTTTTTTTCTTTAGACACTGATGACTGTTATCCAAACCCGTGTCTAAACAACGGAACATGTACAGACGGAGTGAATGACTACAACTGCACTTGCGTGCCTGGCTTTGTAGGAAAGAATTGCTCAAATAGTAAGGCTTTTAAAATCAAGTCTTCCAGAGGTTGAGATTTTCTGATTAACACTGAACAGCGAATGGTAATCGTATTCCAAGTACATCGGTGGACGACCTCGCTCGCTCCTTTTGAAAACGGCGTTTTGCATAAGTTACAGATCCAAGTTTCCTTACCTCTCTTAAAACTTAATAAGAGCATCCTTCTATAAAACAAAAAAGGCCAATTAATTCATATTTATGCCATGGCCATTTGTAATTTGGGAAAGATTAGTTTCAAAAGAATTTCCCTTGTGTAGTGCCCTTGTGGAATAAAACTGAATGTCTTCAATTGATGCGACAAGTAAATCTTGTATAATTAAGAATTTCTTAATTTTGTAGTCATGGATAGATTATTGTCGTTAATCCTTACCATGTCCTTTTTTTTTTCTTCAGACACTGATGACTGTTATCCAAACCCGTGTCTAAACAACGGAACATGTACAGACGGAGTGAATGACTACAACTGCACTTGCGTGCCTGGCTTTGTAGGAAAGAATTGCTCAAATAGTAAGTCTTTAAAAATTAGATTAAGTCTTTAAAAGGATTGAGATTTTCAGATTAATACTGAACAGTGAATGTTAATGGTATTACAAGTACATCGGCGCACGACCTCGCTAGTTCCTTTTGAAAAAGTCGTTTTACTTAAGATACAGATCCAAGTTTCCTTACCCTTTTTAAAACTTAATAAGAGCATCCCTCTATACAAGGAAAAAGGCAAATTAATTCATAATATGCCATGGCCATTCTTAATTTGGGCAAGATTAGTCTCTAAAGAATTTCCCGTGTGGAGTGCTTTTGTGGAATAAAACTGAATGCCTTCAATTGATGCGAACAAGTAAATCTTGTATAATTATGTGTTCCTTGTAGATATCGATATTTTATTGTCGTCAATCCTTACCATAACCTTTTTTTTTGTTCAGACACTGACGATTGTTACCCAAACCCGTGTCTCAACAACGGAACATGTACAGACGGAGTGAATGACTACAACTGCACTTGCGTGCCCGGCTTTGCAGGAAAGAATTGCTCAAATAGTAAGTCTTTAAAAATCAAGTCTTTACCAGGATTGAGATTTTCGCATTAACATGGAACAGTGAATGGTAATCGTATTCCAAGTACATCGGCGGACGACCTCGCTCGCTCCTTTTGAAAACGGCGTTTTGCATAAGTTACAGATCCAAGTTTCCTTACCTCTCTTAAAACTTAATAAGAGCATCCTTCTATAAAACAAAAAAGGCCAATTAATTCATATTTATGCCATGGCCATTTGTAATTTGGGAAAGATTAGTTTCAAAAGAATTTCCCTTGTGTAGTGCCCTTGTGGAATGAAACTGAATGTCTTCAATTGATGCGACAAGTAAATCTTGTATAATTATGTGTTTCTTAATTTTGTAGTCATGGATAGATTATTGTCGTTCATCCTTACCATGTCCTTTTTTTTTTCTTCAGACACTGATGACTGTTATCCAAACCCGTGTCTAAACAACGGAACATGTACAGACGGCGTGAATGACTACAACTGCACTTGCGTGCCTGGCTTTGTAGGAAAGAATTGCTCAAATAGTAAGTCTTTAAAAATCAAGTCTTTGAAAGGATTGAGATTTTCGGATTAACACTGCACAGTGACTGGTAATCTTATTCCAAGTACATCGGCGGACGACCTCGCTCGCTCCTTTTGAAAAAGTCGTTTTGCATAAGTTACCGATCAAAGTTTCCTTACCTCTTTTAAAACTTAAGAAGAGCATCCCACTATATAAGGAAAAAGACACATTAACTGATATTTCTGCCATGGGCAGTTTTAATTTGGCTAAGATTAGTTTCCAAAGAATTTCCCTTGTCGATTCAAGCCGATGTGGAATAAAATAAAAAAAACAAAATGCCTTCAATTGATGCGACAAGTGAATCTTCTACAATTATGTGTTCCTTAATTTTGTAGACATGGATATTTTATTGTCATCAATCCTTACCTTGTCCTTTTTTTTTTCTTTAGACACTGATGACTGTTATCCAAACCCGTGTCTAAACAACGGAACATGTACAGACGGAGTGAATGACTACAACTGCACTTGCGTGCCTGGCTTTGTAGGAAAGAATTGCTCAAATAGTAAGTCTTTTAAGATGAAATCAAGTCTTAAAAAAGATTGAGATTTTCGGATTAACACCGAACAGCAAATGGTAATCGTATTCCAAGTACATCGGCCCACGACTTCGCTTGCTCGTTTTGAAAAAGGCGTTTTGCATAAGTTACAGATCCAAGTTCCCTTACTTGTTTTGAAACTTACGAAGAGGATCCCTCTATACAAGGAAAAAGGCACACTAATTGATATTTCTCCCATGGGCAATTTTAATTTGGGCAAGATTAGTTTGAAAAGAATTTCCCTTGTGGAGTCAAGCCGATGTGGAATAAAACTAAACGCCTTCAATTGATGCGACAAGTGAATCTTCTATAATTATGTGTTCCTTAATTTTGTAGACATGGATATTTTATTGTCGTCAATCCTTACCATGTTTTTTTTTTCTTCAGACACTGATGACTGTTATCCAAACCCGTGTCTAAACAACGGAACATGTACAGACGGAGTGAATGACTACAACTGCACTTGCTTGCCTGGCTTTGTAGGAAAGAATTGCTCGAATAGTAAGTCTTTAAAAATCAAGTCTTTAAAAGGATAGCTAAGGATTGAGATTTTCAGATTAACACTGCGCAGTGACTGGTAATCGTATTGCAAGTACATCGGCGGACGACCTCGCTCGCTCCTTTTGAAAAAGTCCTGTTGCATCAGTTACAGCTCCAAGTTTTCTCACCTCTTTGAAAACGTAATAAGAGCATCCCTCTATACAAGAAAAAAGGCACATTAATTGATATTTCTCCCATGCCGGCATTTTTAATTTCGGCAAGATTAGTTTCCAAAGAATTTCCCTTGTGGATTCAAGCCGATGTGGAATAAAATAAAAAAACTAAATGCCTTTAATTGATGTGACATGTGAAAACTTCTACAATTATGTGTTCCTTAATTTTGTAGCCATGGATATTTTATTGTCGTCAATCCTTACCATGTCCTTTTTTTTTTTCTTTAGACACTGATGACTGTTATCCAAACCCGTGTCTAAACAACGGAACATGTACAGACGGAGTGAATGACTACAACTGCACTTGCGTGCCTGGCTTTGTAGGAAAGAATTGCTCAAATAGTAAGTCTTTAAAAATCAAGTCTTTGAAAGGATTGAGATTTTCGGATTAACACTAAACTGTGAATGCTAATCGTATTCCAAGGACATCGGCGGACGACTTCGCTCGCCCCTTTTTGAAAGGTCGTTTTGTATAAGTTACAACTCCAAGTTTCGTTACGTCTTTTAAAACTTAATAAGAGCATCCTTCTATACAATGAAAAAGGCCAATTAATTCATATTTATGCCATGGCCATTTTTAATTTTGGAAAGATTAGTTTCAAAAGAATTTCCCTTGTGTAGTGCTCTTGTGGAATAAAACTGAATGTCTTCAATTGATGCGACAAGGAAATCTTGTATAAGTATGTGTTCGGTAATTTGTAGATATAGATGTCTTATTGTCGTTAATCCTTACCACGTCCTTTGTGTTTTTCTTTAGACACTGATGACTGTTATCCAAACCCGTGTCTAAACAATGGAACATGTACAGATGGAGTGAATGACTACAACTGCACTTGCGTGCCTGGCTTTGTAGGAAAGAATTGCTCAAATAGTAAGGCTTTTAAAATCAAGTCTTGAAGGGATTGAGATTTTCGGATTAATACTGAACAGCGAATGGTAATCGTATTCCAAGTACATCGGTGGACGACCTCGCTCGCTCCTTTCGAAAAAGTCGTTTTGCATAAGTTACTGATCCAAGTTTCCTTACCTCTCTTAAAACTTAATAAGAGCATCCTTCTATACAATGAAAAAGGCAAATTAATTCATATTTATGCCATGGCCATTTGTAATTTGGGCAAGATAGTTTCTAAAGAATTTCCCGTGCATGAAGTGCCCATGTATGTGGAATAAAACTGAATGCCGTTAATTGATGCAACAAGTGAATCTTCTACAATTATGTGTTGCTTGTAGATATTGGTATTTTAATGTCGTCAATCCTTACCATGTCCTTTTTTCTCTTTAGACACTGATGACTGTTATCCAAACCCGTGTCTAAACAACGGAACATGTACAGACGGAGTGAATGACTACAACTGCACTTGCGTGCCTGGCTTTGTAGGAAAGAATTGCTCATATAGTAAGTCTTTTAAAATCAAGTCTTAAAAAAGATTGAGATTTTCGAATTAACAGTGAACAGCGAATGGTAATCGTATTCGAAGTACATCGGCCGACGACTTCGCTTCCTCGTTTTGAAAACGGCGTTTTGCATAAGTTACAGATCCAAGTTTCCTTAATTCTTTTGAAACTTAATAAGAGGATCCCTCTATACAAAGAAAAAGGCTCATTAATTGATATTTCTGCCATGTTCAATTTTAATCTGGGCAAGATTAGTTTCAAAACAATTTTTCTTGTGGAGTCAAGCCCATGTGGAATAAAACTAAATGCCTTCAATTGATGCAACAGGTGAATCTTCAATAATTATGTGTTCCTTGTAGATATAGAAATAGTCTATTGTCATCAATCCTTACCATGCCCTTTTTTTCTTTAGACACTGATGAATGTTATCCAAACCCGTGTCTAAACAACGGAACATGTACAGACGGAGTGAATGACTACAACTGCACTTGCGTGCCTGGCTTTGTAGGAAAGAATTGCTCAAATAGTAAGTCTTTAAAAATTAAATAAAGTCTTTAAAAGGATTGAGATTTTCAGATTAATACTGAACAGTGAATGTTAATGGTATTACAAATACATCGGCGCACGACCTCGCTAGTTCCTTTTGAAAAAGTCGTTTTACTTAACATACAGATCCAAGTTTCCTTACCCTTTTTAAAACTTATAAAAAGAGCATCCCTCTATACAAGGAAAAAGGCAAAATAATTCATGATATGCCATGGCCATTCTTAATTTGGGCAAGATTAGTCTCTAAAGAATTTCCCGTGTGGAGTGCTTTTGTGGAATAAAACAGAATGCCTTCAGTTGATGCGAACAAGTGAATCTTGTATAATGATGTGTTCCTTGTAGATATCGATATTTTATTGTCGTCAATCCTTACCATAACCTTTTTTTTCTTCAGACACTGATGATTGTTATCCAAACCCGTGTCTAAACAACGGAACATGTACAGACGGAGTGAATGATTACAACTGCACTTGCGTGCCTAGCTTTGTAGGAAAGAATTGCTCAAATAGTAAGTCTTTAAAAATCAAGTCTTTACCAGGATTGAGATTTTCGCATTAACATGGAACAGTGAATGGTAATCGTATTCCAAGTACATCGGCGGACGACCTCGCTCGCTCCTTTTGAAAACGGCGTTTTGCATACGTTACAGATCCAAGTTTCCTTACCTCTCTTAAAACTTAATAAGAGCATCCTTCTATACAATGAAAAAGGCTAATTAATTCATATTTTTGCCATGGCCATTTGTAATTTGGAAAAGATTAGTTTCAAAAGAATTTCCCTTGTGTAGTGCCCTTGTGGAATAAAACTGAATGTCTTCAATTGATGCGACAAGTAAATTTTGTATAATTATGTGTTTCTTAATTTTGTAGTCATGGATAGATTATTGTCGTTCATCCTTACCATGTCCTTTTTTTTTTCTTCAGACACTGATGACTGTTATCCAAACCCGTGTCTAAACAACGGAACATGTACAGACGGCGTGAATGATTACAACTGCACTTGCGTGCCTGGCTTTGTAGGAAAGAATTGCTCAAATAGTAAGTCTTTAAAAATCAAGTCTTTGAAAGGATTGAGATTTTCGAATTAACACTAAACTGTGAATGCTAATCGTATTCCAAGGACATCGCCGGACGACTTCGCTCGCCCCTTTTAAAAAGGTCGTTTTGCATAAGTTACAACTCCAAGTTTCCTTACCTCTTTTAAAACTTAATAAGAGCATCCTTCTATACAATGAAAAAGGCCAATTAATTCATATTTATGCCATGGCCATTTTTAATTTGGGAAAGATTAGTTTCAAAAGAATTTCCATTGTGTAGTGCTCTTGTGGAATAAAACTGAATGTCTTCAATTGATGCGACAAGTAAATCTTGTATAAGTATGTGTTCGGTAATTTGTAGATATAGATGTCTTATTGTCGTTAATCCTTACCACGTCCTTTGTGTTTTTCTTTAGACACTGATGACTGTTATCCAAACCCGTGTCTAAACAATGGAACATGTACAGACGGAGTGAATGACTACAACTGCACTTGCGTGCCTGGCTTTGTAGGAAAGAATTGCTCAAATAGTAAGGCTTTTAAAATCAAGTCTTGAAGGGATTGAGATTTTCGGATTAACACTGAACAGCGAATGGTAATCGTATTCCAAGTACATCGGTGGACGACCTCGCTCGCTCCTTTCGAAAAAGTCGTTTTGCATAAGTTACTGATCCAAGTTTCCTTACCTCTCTTAAAACTTAATAAGAGCATCCTTCTATACAATAAAAAAGGCAAATTAATTCATCTTTATGCCATGCCTATTTGTAATTTGGGCAAGATAGTTTCTAAAGAATTTCCCGTGCATGAAGTGCCCATGTGGAATAAAACTGAATGCCGTTAATTGATGCAACAAGTGAATCTTCTACAATTATGTGTTCCTTGTAGATATGGGTATTTTAATGTCGTCAATCCTTACCATGTCCTTTTTTCCCTTTAGACACTGATGACTGTTATCCAAACCCGTGTCTAAACAACGGAACATGTACAGACGGAGTGAATGACTACAACTGCACTTGCATGCCTGGCTTTGTAGGAAAGAATTGCTCATATAGTAAGTCTTTTAAAATCAAGTCTTAAAAAAGATTGAGATTTTCGAATTAACAGTGAACAGCGAATGGTAATCGTATTCGAAGTACATCGGCCGACGACTTCGCTTGCTCGTTTTGAAAACGGCGTTTTGCATAAGTTACAGATCCAAGTTTCCTTAATTCTTTTGAAACTTAATAAGAGGATCCCTCTATACAAAGAAAAAGGCACATTAATTGATATTTCTGCCATGGTCAATTTTAATCTGGGCAAGATTAGTTTCAAAACAATTTTTCTTGTGGAGTCAAGCCCATGTGGAATAAAACTAAATGCCTTCAATTGATGCAACAGGTGAATCTTCAATAATTATGTGTTCCTTGTAGAGATAGAAATAGTCTATTGTCGTCAATCCTTACGATGTCCTTTTTTTTCGTTAGACACTGATGAATGTTATCCAAACCCGTGTCTAAACAACGGAACATGTACAGACGGAGTGAATGACTACAACTGCATTTGCGTGCCTGGCTTTGTAGGAAAGAATTGCTCAAATAGTAAGTCTTTAAAAATTAAATTAAGTCTTTAAAAGGATTGTTTCAGATTTTCAGATTTTCAGAATTGCTCAAATAGTAAGTCTTTAAAAATTAAATTAAGTCTTTAAAAGGATTGAGATTTTCAGATTAATACTGAACAGTGAATGTTAATGGTATTACAAGTACATCGGCGCACGACCTCGCTAGTTCCTTTTGAAAAAGTCGTTTTACTTAAGATACAGATCCAAGTTTCCTTACCCTCTTTAAAACTTAATAAGAGCATCCCTCTATACAAGGAAAAAGGCAAATTAATTCATAATATGCCATGGCCATTCTTAATTTGGGCAAGATTAGTCTCTAAAAGATTTCCCGTGTGGAGTGCTTTTGTGGAATAAAACTGAATGCCTTCAATTGATGCGAACAAGTGAATTTTGTATAATGATGTGTTCCTTGTAGATATCGATATTTTATTGTCGTCAATCCTTACCATAACCTTTTTTTTCTTCAGACACTGATGATTGTTACCCAAACCCGTGTCTAAACAACGGAACATGTACAGACAGAGTGAATGACTACAACTGCACTTGCGTGCCTGGCTTTGTAGGAAAGAATTGCTCAAATAGTAAGTCTTTAAAAATCAAGTCTTTACCAGGATTGAGATTTTCGCATTAACATGGAACAGTGAATGGTAATCTTATTCCAAGTACATCGGCGCACGACTTCGCTCGCTCTTTTTGAAAACGGAGTTTTGCATAAGTTTCAGATCCAAGTTTCCTTACCTGTTTTAAAACTTGATAGGGAAATTCCTCTATACAAGGAAAAACGCAACTTAATTCATATTTATGCCTAGGCCATTTTTAATTTGAGCAAGATTAGTTTCTAGAGAATTTCCCGTGTGGAGTGCCTCTGTAGAATAAGATTGAGTGGTTTCAATTGATGGGAGAAGTGAATCTTGTATAATTATGTGTTCCTTGTAGATATGGATATTTTATTGTCGTCAATCCTTACCATGTCCTGTTTTCTCTTTAGACACTGATGACTGTTATCCAAACCCGTGTCTAAACAACGGAACATGTACAGACGGAGTGAATGACTACAACTGCACTTGCGTGCCTGGCTTTGTAGGAAAGAATTGCTCACATAGTAAGTCTTTTAAAATCAAGTCTTAAAAAAGATTGAGATTTTCGAATTAACAGTGAACAGCGAATGGTAATCGTATTCGAAGTACATCGGCCGACGACTTCGCTTGCTCGTTTTGAAAACGGCGTTTTGCATAAGTTACAGATCCAAGTTTCCTTAATTCTTTTGAAACTTAATAAGAGGATCCCTCTATACAAAGAAAAAGGCACATTAATTGATATTTCTGCCATGTTCAGTTTTAATCTGGGCAAGATTAGTTTCAAAACAATTTTTCTTGTGGAGTCAAGCCCATGTGCAATAAAACTAAATGCCTTGAATTGATGCAACAGGTGAATCTTCAATAATTATGTGTTCCTTGTAGATATAGAAATAGTCTATTGTCATCAATCCTTACCATGCCCTTTTTTTCTTTAGACACTGATGAATGTTATCCAAACCCGTGTCTAAACAACGGAACATGTACAGACGGAGTGAATGACTACAACTGCACTTGCGTGCCTGGCTTTGTAGGAAAGAATTGCTCAAATAGTAAGTCTTTAAAAATTAAATTAAGTCTTTAAAAGGATTGAGATTTTCAGATTAATACTGAACAGTGAATGTTAATGGTATTACAAGTACATCGGCGCACGACCTCGCTAGTTCCTTTTGAAAAAGTCGTTTTACTTAGATACAGATCCAAGTTTCCTTACCCTTTTTAAAACTTATAAAAAGAGCATCCCTCTATAGAAGGAAAAAGGCAAAATCATTCATGATATGCCATGGCCATTCTTAATTTGGGCAAGAATTTCCCGTGTGGAGTGCTTTTGTGGAATAAAACTGAATGCCTTCAATTGATGCGAACAAGTGAATCTTGTATAATGATGTGTTCCTTGTAGATATCGATATTTTATTGTCGTCAATCCTTACCATAACCTTTTTTTTCTTCAGACACTGATGATTGTTATCCAAACCCGTGTCTAAACAACGGAACATGTACAGACGGAGTGAATGATTACAACTGCACTTGCGTGCCTGGCTTTGTAGGAAAGAATTGCTCAAATAGTAAGTCTTTAAAAATCAAGTCTTTACCAGGATTGAGATTTTCGCATTAACATGGAACAGTGAATGGTAATCGTATTCCAAGTACATCGGCGGACGACCTCGCTCGCTCCTTTTGAAAACGGCGTTTTGCATAAGTTACAGATCCAAGTTTCCTTACCTCTCTTAAAACTTAATAAGAGCATCCTTCTATACAATGAAAAAGGCTAATTAATTCATATTTTTGTCATGGCCATTTGTAATTTGGGAAAGATTAGTTTCAAAAGAATTTCCCTTGTGTAGTGCCCTTGTGGAATAAAACTGAATGTCTTCAATTGATGCGACAAGTAAATTTTGTATAATTATGTGTTTCTTAATTTTGTAGTCATGGATAGATTATTGTCGTTCATCCTTACCATGTCCTTTTTTTTTTCTTCAGACACTGATGACTGTTATCCAAACCCGTGTCTAAACAACGGAACATGTACAGACGGCGTGAATGACTACAACTGCACTTGCGTGCCTGGCTTTGTAGGAAAGAATTGCTCAAATAGTAAGTCTTTAAAAATCAAGTCTTTGAAAGGATTGAGATTTTCGGATTAACACTAAACTGTGAACGCTAATCGTATTCCAAGGACATCGCCGGACGACTTCGCTCGCCCCTTTTAAAAAGGTCGTTTTGCATAAGTTACAACTCCAAGTTTCCTTACCTCTTTTAAAACTTAATAAGAGCATCCTTCTATACAATGAAAAAGGCCAATTAATTCATGTTTATGCCATGGCCATTTTTAATTTGGGAAAGATTAGTTTCAAAAGAATTTCCATTGTGTAGTGCTCTTGTGGAATAAAACTGAATGTCTTCAATTGATGGGACAAGTAAATCTTGTATAAGTATGTGTTCGGTAATTTGTAGATATAGATGTCTTATTGTCGTTAATCCTTACCACGTCCTTTGTGTTTTTCTTTAGACACTGATGACTGTTATCCAAACCCGTGTCTAAACAATGGAACATGTACAGACGGAGTGAATGACTACAACTGCACTTGCGTGCCTGGCTTTGTAGGAAAGAATTGCTCAAATAGTAAGGCTTTTAAAATCAAGTCTTTACCAGGATTGAGATTTTCGCATTAACATGGAACAGTGAATGGTAATCTTATTCCAAGTACATCGGCGGACGACCTGGCTCGCTCCTTTTGAAAACGGCGTTTTGCATAAGTTACTGATCCAAGTTTCCTTACCTCTCTTAAAAGTTAATAAGAGCATCCTTCTATACAATAAAAAAGGCAAATTAATTCATATTTATGCCATGCCTATTTGTAATTTGGGCAAGATAGTTTCTAAAGAATTTCCCGTCCATGAAGTGCCCATGTGGAATAAAACTGAATGCCGTTAATTGATGCAACAAGTGAATCTTCTACAATTATGTGTTCCTTGTAGATATGTGTATTTTAATGTCGTCAATCCTTACCATGTCCTTTTTTCTCTTTAGACACTGATGACTGTTATCCAAACCCGTGTCTAAACAACGGAACATGTACAGACGGAGTGAATGACTACAACTGCACTTGCATGCCTGGCTTTGTAGGAAAGAATTGCTCATATAGTAAGTCTTTTAAAATCAAGTCTTAAAAAAGATTGAGATTTTCGAATTAACAGTGAACAGCGAATGGTAATCGTATTCGAAGTACATCGGCCGACGACTTCGCTTCCTCGTTTTGAGAACGGCGTTTTGCATAAGTTACAGATCCAAGTTTCCTTAATTCTTTTGAAACTTAATAAGAGGATCTTTCTATACAAAGAAAAAGGCACATTAATTGATATTTCTGCCATGGTCAATTTTAATCTGGGCAAGATTAGTTTCAAAACAATTTTTCTTGTGGAGTCAAGCCCATGTGGAATAAAACTAAATGCCTTCAATTGATGCAACAGGTGAATCTTCAATAATTATGTGTTCCTTGTAGATATAGAAATAGTCTATTTTCGTCAATCCTTACCATGTCCTTTTTTTTCGTTAGACACTGATGAATGTTATCCAAACCCGTGTCTAAACAACGGAACATGTATAGACGGAGTGAATGACTACAACTGCATTTGCGTGCCTGGCTTTGTAGGGAAGAATTGCTCAAATAGTAAGTCTTTAAAAATTAAATTAAGTCTTTAAAAGGATTGAGATTTTCAGATTTTCAGAATTGCTCAAATAGTAAGTCTTTAAAAATTAAATTAAGTCTTTAAAAGGATTGAGATTTTCAGATTAATACTGAACAGTGAATGTTAATGGTA